TTCAGAACCCCCTTCCCCTCCCCCTTTTCTGATGAAGGGTCTAGGCCCGAAACGTCAGCCTCTCTGCTCCTATGATGCTGCTTGGCCTGCTGTGTTCATCCAGCCCTGCACCTTGTTGTCTTAAAATTATGCATTCTTGTTTTGAACTATCCTACCCTAGGGAAAAAGCCTTTGCTATTCACCTTACCTGTGCCCCTCATGATTTTACGAAACTTCTACAAGGTCACCCCTCAATCCTCTACACTCCAGTGAAAAACATCCCAGACTATCCAGCGTCTCCTTACAATTCAAACCGTCCAGTCCCAGTAACATCCTTGTAAATCTTTTCTGCACCCTCTCCAATTTAATAATATTCTTGTTATAGTCGGGTGACCAGAACTGTACACAGTACTCCAAAAGTGACACCACCGTCCTGTACAGCTGCAACATGACATCCCAACTCCTATATTTAATGGTCTGAGCGATGAAGGCATGCGAGCTAAATGCCTTCTTTACCATTCTGTCCAACTGTGATGCAACTTTTAAGGAACAACGTACCTGAACCCTTTGGTCTCTCTTTTCAACAACACTTCCTAGGGCCCTTCCATCAACTGCGTAAATCCTGCCCATGTTTGTCTTACCAAAACCTCACATTTATCTGAATTAAACTCCATCTGCCATTCCTCGGCCCATTGGCTCAAATGACCCCTTTGTAATTTTAGGTAACTTCCTTCACTGTCCACTATACCACCAATTTTGGTGTCATCCACAAACTTACTAACCACACTTCCTATATTCTCATCCAAATTGTTGAGACAAATTGCAAACAATGGACCCAGCATCAGGAGGGAAGTCTGATTATATCTATTTTATCTTCGCCTCATCACAGAATTATAGTAATGCAGGAAGCAGCCATTGGGTCCATCATGCCTCCACTGGCTCTTTAAATGAACAATTCACTTAACGCCCGTTCTCACCTTCTCTCTGTAATTCTGCACATTCTTCCTTTTCAGAAAACAGTGTAATCCCCTTTTGTATGCCTCCACCACAGGCCTTTGTAAGAGAGTGGCCAGGTAGCTGGCTTCACAAGAGCTGGTGTAAGTAGGATACCTGACACAAGATGACTTCCATCAAATTTCCTCCCTTGCTTTGTGTCACACTTATCAAGAGTGTGCTTGGCTCCATCTGTACAGAAAAACTTCATAAGCAGCACATGACCAGTCTGACTTTAAGATGCAACCTCACTATTTAAAAACAGGGGTGTGACCTACATATTACAAACACTGATAACACTACATTGGCTATCCAATAGGTTTTTCCTCTGCTTTCCTGTTGTTGAATTGGATGACAATGCACTGCTGGGATAATCAAGTCACAAAGTGTAAGATATTAATGCTCTATTAAAAAAACAGGAGTAGGAGACCATCATAGACTGTGTAAATTCTGAATTCAGGCATGAAGCAGCATTAGCACTCTTGCTGCTGGATCAAAAGGTTATAGGTTCATATCTGACTCCGACGATTTGGGCATATAATCTAGGCTGACAAACTTCAGTACAGTACTGATAATCAGAGGGACTGATTTTCAGATGAAAAGGTATATTTGGCTCCATCTTCCCCTTGAGGTGATTGTAACAGATCCTATGACACCATTTTGAGAAACATTATGGGAGAGTTTACTGATGCCTTGATCAGTATTTACTCCATAACAAACATTTCTAAAACATTAGTAAAAACAGAAGTGCTGGAGAATCTCAGCAGGTCTGACAGCATCTGTGCAGAGAGAAACAGAGTTAAGATTCAAGCCTGATAGGACTCTTCTTCAGAACTGAAACTTCATTCTAGAATCAAAATGTTAACTCTGCTTCTCTTTCCACAGATGCTGCCAGACCTGCTGAGGTTCTCCAACACTTTCTACTTTTATTTCAAATTTCTAGCATCTGTAGTATTTTGCTTTTATGCTAAAACATTGTCCAGCCATTATCGCTTTGTTGTATGTGGGAATTTGCCTTGTACGAATTATCTGCTGTGTTCCTGACTACACTTTGGGAACTGCTTCATTGGCTGCATGGTCATTGAGGTTGTGAAAGCGAACACATAAATGCAAGATCTATTTATTCCCAGCAGTAGCGGTGCTGGTAGAGAGCAGAACTACCACTCCATTCTAACATAGGTTCACATTCACCATCTCCCCTGGCCTCTAATTCCTTATCTCTGCAGGGTGAGCAGGGAATGGATGCAGGGAGAGTGAGAATTCTCTCAGACACATTTGTTCACTTAGGAGCAGCAACCGGGCAGATTCCTGAGAAAAGACTTCTTTCAGCCTCCATGTTTAGAGAATGTCAGAAACAGCAACTTGCCACTCACTTTTATTTCATTTAGAAATGTCACCCATTTTGAGGTGTGCCCGTAGCGAATAACAAGCACAGTTCCAAGTGTATTCAACTGGATTTGCACCTGTGCCCAACCCACTTCATGTGCCCTCAGTGTTGATGGCTGGGGCACACAGTATCACACAAGAACAATGAAGAAAGGGGAACAAAACAAAACAGTTTCAAATGGGGAAGTGATACTAGAACATTTTAACTTCTCAGCTAGTGGCAGGAAGACCACAGAACAGATAGGCTGCCTGTGTTCCCAGCTAGAGGAGGGTAGAGATGTGGAGCAAAAAAGAAAAGTAGCCTGCCTTTTTGTCCTGATAGGCCATCAGCATGGCACAGTTCTCACAGGCAACACGTCTCTTGGGACAGTCTGATTCCATGTGCCCCTGCAGTTCCTTTCGCCACAGCAAAGCATCACATTGAGGACAGTCAACAAAGGCGTACTCACACTGCTCCTGGTGTTCCTGTAACACACACAGCACAAAGAGGTTCACTGGCAAGGAAACAGCTTTCTTCATACTGTAAATGGTCACAAATACTCAGCTGACACCAAGAACCAACTTAAATTTTGTTTAGCAGGTCAATATACTGCCCTCCCACTCCTTCTCATCCAGAGAATACCTCGAGGTTTGCTCACATCACAGCAATCTGGCTATAACTGAAGCAAAGTGATTGAAATTGTGATTGGAATGCTTTCCTCAGCAGTAACGAAACTTGTAATGCCCACAATACAGAATAGTATTTGTTTAAAATTAAATCAGCTCAGTTCTCGTCAAACTTCACTTGGCCCCACCCGACGGCAGCCTCTCCCCACTCCACGATCAGACCTCCAATGGACTGAGTCTTGCTGCTTGTGGAAGGGAAAGCAAATTGCACTGATTAGGTCTGTACAGCTAATGACTGCAGTGAACCCAACTCAGACTGGATCTGTAGAGTCAATTACCACATTAGACAGGGCAGTGACATACTGAAACTGGCTGGTGTTTTGACATCACATTGAGAAAAAGTGGACTTTGTGGAATTTACATTGACCATCTGTAGACCGAGAATAAAATTAATATTAATAGACAAAACATACAAATTAAAACAGGGAGCTACATCTCTTTTTTCAACAAGTATTGTCCTGTTAGAATCAGGTATTCAACTCAAAAACAAAAACAGAATAATCAACATCAATAAATCAGAATGGATAATAAAGAAAAAACAACCTCCAAATGTCGTAGCTCCATTTTCTGATAACAGCCCTTGTTGGGACACTTTACTGTCAGGGAAAGAATTTCCCGTTTTGCAAAATTATCTGGGAAAAGTTGGGCTTCTGTCAACATCTCATTGTCCACGGGGCACTTGTGTCCAGCATCCCTGTAAGATTTCATAAAACAAAAAAAAAATGGTTAAAAGCTTCAGACAACTCTCTCTGGACACTCTCCACTCCTGCAGCAAACAGTTTTTGATGGTACTGATTGGGAGATAAATAGTGGTCAACAAACTGGGAAGAATTCTCCTGCTCTTCTTTGAACAGTACTGAGGGATAACTCACATTCACTTGAAAGGACAGACAATGTCTGTTTTAACATCATGTCTGAAGGACAGCATCAGAGGTAGTGCAGCTCTCCCTCAGTTCTGCTTTGAAGTATCAGCCAGGAATTCTCAGGAGTGAAGTTTGAACCCACAGACTTCTGATCAAGCAGCGGAATCTAGCAGCAAGCCAAGATTGACACTATACAAGGGGTCCCCAGTTGAAAAACAACCGATTTATAAAAGTCCACAAATGCAATTTCATTCAATGATGTAATTCTGATGACTCCACAAACAAACATTTCCTGTACTTATGAACGGCTCCTTTCCACTGTCCTGCATTGTGTTCCGACTTGAGCACAAATCAACTTGCAAATGGACTCCAGAACAGAATCCATTCGCAGCCCATATGTAAAAACTGTGAAAAATCATTGCAGCTCTCATGTGACAGAGAAATGTCACAATGTCACGGCTTTAGTAAAGGCATGCTGCTGTCCTGGAATGCTTTGTTCACACTTTATGTAATATTAATGCTGGCTCTAACACAAGCTTAAAATATCAGGAATGGAAATAAAAACTACATCCTTCTCAGAGTTTTATTTCTATTCCTGATTAAAGGAATCTGAACCTACCCAGTAGGACACCGAGGGCTTGACCAACACAAAACAGCTCCCTCTTACACAGCGTTTCCTGGTATTACAGGGGCAAAGACAAACTCATTTTATGCAGCAGGATGCAAACTTTGACAAACAACCTGAGGCTGTTAGGGGTCATTCTGGACTATGAATTTAAAGGTGGCAGCAGGAGGCATCCTTTGAGGTTGGTGGCAGCTCACCTTTCAAAGCAAAAGTCAAAAAATATTCAGATTGGAATGTGCCAGCATTAAATCATCACACGTATTCAAGAAAGGCAGAAACCTGTTCCGCAGGCAACCACGTGAAACGAACACAACATGAAATGTAAATGATCTGAGATGGCCAGGCACAGACTGCACATTGTTACCATGGTACACACAGGAACTTACAGATTGTTGGACAGGGAACAGTAGGTACATAAAAACATTGAGAAAGTATCTTTAAAAACCAAAAGAACTGCGGATGCTGTGAATCAGGAATAAAAACAAAGTTGCTGGAAAAGCTCAGCAGGTCTGGCAGCATCTGTGAAGAGAAAAAAAAAAGAGTTAACGTTTCGGGTAACTCTTTCTTTCTTCACAGATGCCAGACCTACTGAGCTTTTCCAACAACTTTGTTTTTGAGAAAGTATCTTTAGTCTTCTGCCCCAGCCACTGATCCCATTCACCTCCAAGTTCACTACTGCATGTTGATTCTTAGCACCCTATTTGAATCCAGCTTCCCATCTCATACCCTCCCAATCACCAAGACCCCTTCATTCTAGCTTCACAACATTAACAGCTTCAGCTCTTGCCTCAGTCCACCGACATCCGAAACCCTCAATTATATTTTCGGTCAAGACCAGAAGTAATATTCAGCACTGTGAAAACCACACAAAGCCCTAGTTCGCCCCTCATTCTGCACTCACTGACCCACTTCACAATCCCAGAAGTTTCAATTTCTTACCTTGAAGATTAAGTTTCTTCATGGAACTTGGCCTTAGAAGAATTCTGCATGCCTCTGACTCTAGCCTCTTGCGGATGCTCTGCCTTGTCCAGCATTTGGCCCTGCAGACCGGAAATCACTCCCTGAAACTCTACTGCACTGTCTCTTTCTGCCATTTTGAACTAATCTTAAACCGGTAATCACCTCTCCTAACATCTCTCCTTTCAGTTGGGGTTTCTAGTTCAGCAACCCATCGCACCTTGAAATGAGACTGATATTAAAGCAACAGTCAACTCAGAAAATAGACACACTTCAAAAAAGAAAGCTTTAATTAGTCACTATGTTTGCAGAAATGGTTACACTACAAAACATAGGAGTAGAGGTAGGCATTTACCCCCTCAAATCTGCTCTGCCATTCACCAATCCTCAACACTGCTTTCCTGCCTTTGTCATAACCATTGATTTCCTTACTGATTAAAAGTTGGTCTATTTCAGCCTTGAATATAGTTAAGGACTTAGCCTATTAAGCACTGTGCAATAAAGAATTCCACAGATTCACTACCCTCAGAGAAGAAATTCCTCTTCATCTTTGTCTTAAATGTATGGCCCCTTATTCTGAGATTATGCCCTCTGGTCCTAGGCTCTTCAAAAGGGGAAACAATGAGCATAGGCCCAACTTACTCAACCTCTCCTCATAAGACAGCCCTGGGATCAACGAGAGAACTTTCTCTAGAGTGCATCCAATGCCAGCATATCTTTCCTTAGATAAGGAATCAAAGCCATTCACATCATTTTCAGAAGCTGAAGACTGCTTTGAATTGGCAGGGGAATTGTGCCAATCCAGAGTAAAATAATTGGTTAAGATTAAACTCATTGCACAGATACAGGGCAGCCAGAAAACTAATTTTGTTCGTTAGAACTTAGGAAGACCAAATCAAGAAAAAGGCATAAAAGCTGCCAAAGACGAAAAGGACTGAAAAGGACTGAAAAAGATAAGGAGTCGTGATCATCAGTAAAGTGATGAAAGGGGCTATCAACAGTGTTACCAAGAAGCACCTACTTATCAATAACCTGCTCATTGTCACTCAGTTTGGGTTCTGCTTGGCCCACTTGGTTCCTGATTTAAATACAGCCTTAGTTCAAACAGGGACAAGAGAGCTGAATTCCAGAGGTGAGGTGAGAGTGACTGCCCTTGACATCAAGGTCACTTTCGACTGAGTGTTACATCAAAGAGCCCGAGCAAGTCAGTGAAACTTAGGTAGAAAACTCTCACCAGACAAAGAATCAATTACCTTGGTACTGGAGCTCCTCAGGGCAGTGTTCTGGATCCAACTATCTCAATTGCTTCATCAACGACCTTCCCTCCATTACAAGGACTGAAGTTGGGATGTTCACCGAAGATTGAACAATGTTCAGTACCACTCAAAACTACTTAGGTACTGAAGCAGTCCATGCCCAAATGCAGCAAAACCTGAACAATATCCAGGCTTGGGCTGATAAGTGATAAGTAACAAGCAACATGCATGTTAAACATGTGCCACTCAATGACCATTCTCAATGACAAAACTTAACTATTTCACTTTGACATTCAATGGCATTACGATCACTGAATCCCCAATTATCAATATCTTGGGGGTTACCATTGTCCAGAAATTGAACTGGGCTAGTCAGTTAAGTATAGTGATTACAAGAGCAGTTCAGATGCTAGGATTTCTATGGCAGGTAACTCATCTCCTCACTCATCAAAGCCTTTTGACAATCTACGAGGTACAAGCCAGGAATGTGATGGAATATACCCAACACGCCTGGACAGGAGCAGCTCCAAAAAGACTCAGTAAGCTTGACACCATCTAAGACAAACTGTTCACTTTGAAGGAAACATAGATTGTGGAGCTCTAGCTTTATCGCCAACCTATGCCTCTCTACAGTTAAACAGATTTATGATTTGAAACCAGAACCTTCCTCATTTTGCAAAAAAATCAAAATGAGGTAATACGTTACAATAGGTTGTTCTCACTGGGACAGAGAATGGGCTAAATTTTCTCTCACTCCCAGCATGCTCAGCTAAGGGTGATTGAAGTGTCTCAGTATTTGCTTCTAAAACTGAAAAACCCATTATTGTGCTCTAAGCACCAAGAACTTCCAGGTCCACAACAGACGTAAAACTCTCAGTTTCTGCTAAGTAAAGCAACTTTACCGCAATATCAGAACAGCATTCGTTACAACACAATGTTCCTTCTACAACGCTGTGAACCTCACTATTCTTTACAGCATCAACCATTGTGGCTTTTTTAAAAAATTCTCTTGTTGGATGGGAGCGTCACAGCATTCATTGGCTGACCCTAGTTGTTCCTCAGAAGGTGAGCCACTGTAGTACATTGCTTAGATAGAACCACAATGCTGTTCGGCACAGAATTCCAGCAATTTGAACCAGCAACAACGAAGGAACCAGAACCCATCTGGTTCATTAATGTCCTTTAGGGAAGGAAACTGCCATCTATATCTGGTCTGACCTATGATTCCACACCCACAGCAATGTGGTTGACTCTTAGCTATTTTCTGGGCAATTAGAGAAGCGAAATAAATGCTGGCCTATGCAGTAATGCCCACATGCCATGAATGAATAAACAAAAATACAGTTATCTCTCACTGAACACTCCTGATCGGTTCTTAAAAAGCAGTGTTATAAACTCTAGAGTATCAAATAAAAGTCACTTTCCCATAAGAAACAACATAATAACCCATAACTCTTAATGGGTTATATTAGAGACATATAAATGGTATATGAAAAATCTACTGGCTGCCTCAAACGTAACTAGCCCAAACTAGTCCTCGCTCTCTTTCACCAAATTACTTTCCAATTGCTGCTTCCCACTTGTCACTTGCCTCTTCAGACTCCACCACTCCCTCCAGCTTGAGGCCCCTCACAATCCTCTGAGGAGCAGCAGGCAAATGGGTTGGCTTAGCAAAGTGGTGAAGGGTAGGGTGGTGGAAGAGCTAATTGGTGCTGTACAGAAAAAACACAGCCTGTACTTGCACCATTCTTGGCATTAGAATGAAAATGGAGGCAGTGTTATTTAGGTAAATTCTATTATTTACTAAGTGCACTAAAATGGAATGTGCTTTAAACAAGGAAAGACCTGTAAAAGGTGTGCGATGAGTACTAGCAGTTTTATAGATCATTGTGGTGATGGTTGGCTCACTGCTGCTGGCTGAAACGCAAAGAGAAAAAAGCATCCCCCTACTAGAAGGTCTTCTGGCAGATTTGAGAATGACAAATAATACTAAAACCTTTAACGATGAGCTACATGTGAAAACTCAGCAATACCAATTATGTGGACCAACATAGGCTGCAGCAAAATTATAATCTTTGAGAGTACTTCGAACGCATGCAAAGTAACCACAAGCAAATTTGACTATACAGTCCCAAATTAAAATTGTCTGCAAATTTAATTTATGAACGATCCCATTTTGATGTTATTTGTATTATTTAATTCAAATTTTTGAATAATTCAAGTAGCTGATGTTGATCTGTCAGGGGGCAGACTGCAATTGCTGCTTAGTACGAGATTTACCATTGTTAGAAACCCGGAAATTTAGTTCAACTGAGAATGCTTGGGTGAGTTGTTAAAGAATATTCCTCTGATTATGAACTCCTCTGAAATATTTCGCAGGCCTGTACAAATGTTGCTCAGTTTCTCAGTATTATTTAATCATTCAAGTAACATTTTTGCTTTTGATTAAGTCAAATTGACAACTTTCAAAGCAACAACAGATTAGTACGAATTGAAAGCAATGACAGTACTCAGTATTATAATAGTACAAAATCACTATACAAACCCAAATTGAATTCACCTTAGTATTCCAGTAGAAGCTGGCCTCAACCTCCCCTCCTTGCAAATATAAATGTGAGATTCACGGCTGAGGTATTTGAAGCATCTACGTTCATGAAGAAAGGGGAGCATTCAGGAGAGTTAGTAGTGAACATCCCTTCAGCTACTAGTATGGGACTATCAATTACTGTTAACTTATATAATGCAGGCGGATTGTATTATTTTTCCTTCTCTTCTCGTGGATCCAGGCAAGTCTGTCTAGACTCATGGTGACTCCAGTTTGATAACCACTGCAGTAACACAACCCTACGACTGGACACAGCCTTAGCGATCTTTGTGCTTAAGGTGACTCACTGTATCACTTGCTCTCATTAAACATTAAAGGTAATGATAACTCTCTTCCCTAACCCTTAATTGAATCTAAATCACTTCGTGGTCACCCTGGCACAGGTACAAAGCAGGAGATCTGATTTATCTGATGAAGGTGGTGAAGGTGCGAAGGATGATGGAGGATCGTCACTGTTGCTGTACATAAAGGATAAAGAAAACCACTGACCTAATAGATTTTACAATGCAACCTCGACAGAACCTGTGGCCACAGGGCGTCTGCACCGCCTCCCTTAATGCCATCAGACAAATCGGGCACTCGTATTTGTTTTCCAGTGGTGGGTCAAATTCCACATCGTAGCCCTGCATCTCCTCAAAGACAGTCTGGGAGTACTGCCCATGGTTGCTGCAATCGTCCCTTGTCCCACTGCTCACCGTGCAGCACGAGCTCTGGAATGCGGATTCACGGCCGCTGTCACAGTCCACCATGTTTGTGATAAATGCCAGATGTGGCACACACTGACCTCAGTGTGCAGAGTGAGTCATCATCCTATAATGGAAAAGCACATTAGAGAAGATCAGGAATATACAAAAAGACGCATTCACATAACAAGTGTATCTCACCATGACACTCGGAATCTCTGCGAACAACTGAACAGGTAACCAATTCATACTCAGAAGAATGAAGGTCTTCTTGATAGTGGAGTTTCCCTTGTTTTGCTCATTAATAGCATGCTTAGCTGCTTAGATGGACAGTATTTAAAGTGGTTCTGAAGAGGAGTATGGCAGACTTTTTCACTCTACATTGATACTGCCAGACCTGCTGAGTTTCTCTAGCATTCTGTGTGTCAAGTTTCTAGCCTCGGCAGTATTTTGCTTCTAATCAAGTGCTTATAATTGGGTTGCCCCTTCAATAGTGCTGCTCAGACGCTCTCTATAGAGAAGTAAAAACCACAGTTAACTAGGAGTTAACTGGGGGCAGGGTATTGATGACTGCTCATAATCTATGTCTCTTGCCTTTGGAGAAAGGTAAGGTTACCCAGATTGAAAAAAAAGCAAGTAACAGTTTTATTTTTATATTTTGTTAATTTGTTCAAAAGATCTATAGTTATGAAAGATCTTGCATAGGTATCCATTTCCTGTCTAACTTTGGCTAACTTCCTTTTGTCATGATTTTTGGGCACTTTTTATGTCATTATTTAATGGATACGAATAATTGGAATGGAAATGCAACAATGTAGTTGCAGGCTCTGGCTTGTAGATGACAACAATGAAATTTTTGATATCGACCTCCTAATGTCATTATTGTAATGGAGTGTTTGTTCCCAATACAGGAGATAGGCTGCTGCTGTTAAAAGTGGCCTCAGTGATCCATGTGAATATGCAGTTGAACCCATTACAGTGCCGCACCATTAGTAAAATGCAGCTTTTGATGTACATTCTACATGATCTCGTTAGTTGCATAGTAAACCTCTTCAAATGCTTTAGATTGCAAAGGAATAACTGCCTGATTGTTTAAAGATAAAATAATCAATAAGGAGACAATTGGAATAAGGGCAGCCAATCAAGCTGGAAATGTTTCAACATCAAGCAATGTTGAATAATTCTTGTGTCCACACTTTCAACTATATCAATTTAAACGTTCTTTAAAGAAATATGCGCTGATAAATCACCTGAGTAATGACCTCTCACTCAGTCAATTTTTAACCGTCTATAAGATTTGGGTTTGAGGATGATGCATAGTGAGATGACCATCTATGGCAATGAAATCAAGGAGGTGTTGAAGAGTCAGTTGCACCCTTGCCGACCACATCTACCTCCGAACTTGGACAACGGATTTGTCCTTGCTTCATGCCAACTCCATAGCTCACTATCACCTTCAAGAGCAATTAGGGAGAAGCCTTGCCAGTGCTACCCAGATCCCAAGGATTAGAAGGATTGAGTTTAAATTAAACACCCTGACATTGTGCAAGCATGCATGGTGCTCCACCAAACAGTGGCATTATGAGAATGCATTTCGAGTGTCAATCTAAATAAGGAAAATACTTCAAGAAACGCATTGGTGTATATGAAATGAACCACCTAGCACAGCCTTGAGTTACTCTAAATAATTAGAATGACAGGATAATTGAAACTTCCCTCCTCTTGCAAAAAGAACAACAGGTGTCCAGCTTAAAAATTGCATCCACTTATTAAAAGACTTTTTTTTTTAAAAGCGCCCCTGACAAATACTCCAAGTGTACGAGAAGCAGCTGTACCAGGCACCTACTGCAACAAGTACGTCTACTAGGCCATAAAATGTCAAACCACAACTTCATAGTCAACTGTAAACAGCCACCCAGTTCTTCTTGCGGCGTAAGCAGCAGCAGCAGAGACTGGACATATCCGGAGTGCATATCAAGGGGCAGAGTAAAGTTAACCAACCTTGCAACTCTGCATATTGTTGCTTTACTTCCTGCCACCTTATAAGGGAATGCCTTCACTTCAGTGATTCAGTGGTAGCAATGTAGTGGAAACACGCCTGACGTGTTATCAGTGAAAGGAAGGGAAAGTGCTCTAGTGATTCTTCTCGAATTCTTTGAAGGGACAAATATACACAAAATTTGCTTGTTGTTTTTCCTCTTCTGAATCCCCTCTCTTCTACCATTTAATTTCTCCTGGTTCTTACAGTTGGTTTATTTCAGTCCCAAGTACAAATTAACTAGTAGTTTAAAACCTCCATGGCTCATTCTCTGATCATACCATTTCTGAATGAGAACTGCGTCTTTGTTCCAATTTAGCTTCCAAGTTTCTGGACTTGTGGACATCAAGACCATGCAGTAGAAACCTGACTTGGGCAATGGCAACAAATGGATGAAATTGGATTGGCTGCCTGTTGCAAAATGGAATTAAACATCAGGCGCTATGAACGGGTGACCAGTTAATACTCTATTATTATTGCTTCTGCACGGGAGTACACAAAGACTCAGCCCTGTGTCTCTGATCTGCAGCTCTGATCTTACATTTTCTTTGCTGAGCAAGTGACTGGTCTACTTGCTTTCCATATTTGGCTACCATCCAATTCCTGGGCAGTGAGTTGCTTTCCTGGGTAGAAGCACACTCTTTCACGGTTTCTGGAGGTTTTAGTAATTTCCAATTTCGCCACTATATTTTTCAATGCTCTGCAACTGATTCTGCAACACCTCCTGGATTTCATTGCCATAGGCAGTCGTTTCACAATGCACCATCCAAGCCTCTACTCTTCAAATAGCTCCTGGGCTTCACTTGCCGACCACATCTATCTCCGAACTTGGACAACGATATGTCCCTGCTTCATGCCAACTCCATAGCTCACTATCACCTTCAAGGGCAATTAGGGAAGAGCCTTGCCAGTGCTACCCAGATCCCAAGAATCAATAAAAGACATTTCTGCAGTTTCCAGTCTGCGTATACACAGTCTTCACATCGCCTTGGGAGTCCAAGACTCCAATGAAACCATTACTTACCTTCAATCTATACATTCTCCAATGCAGCTTTTATTTTCACTCCTCAAAGTCCAAGGGATATAAGATTTGACAGAATATGACAGACAACTGGCTTCACTATTTACTGCCAAACCTGGCTCAAACATAAAGCAGTGATGACGTCGAGCTATCTGCTACAGGGCCACACAGGTATACAAAAGATAACCACCTGCTTCTTTCCTCTCCTAGAAAACATCATCTTGAACCCATTTCCTGTCTTCTCCAGCTTAAACGCCAACATATATGACAAGCTTTGGACTTCTCTAGCAGTAAAATTGAGGTCATCCATAGGAAAGATGAAAACTAGGGCTTACTGCACTTCTCCAGTGTTCAATATCATGTCTGAGTGTCTAATTCCGCTCCACCATTCCCTACTACCCAATACACTTTGGTTCCTTTAGCATCCAAAAACCCATATACCTCCACTGTGAACGAACTCACAAAATTGGCATTTCCCTCCCTTTCCCATCAGGTCAAACTTCTTGTAAGGCTCCCCTGCACGAACCCCAAACTCTCAATTCTCTATTTGCTCTCTTGTCTGTCCTCATGCCGCACCTCCAAATTCATTTTTCCATGAGACGTACATCTGCTCTATAGACATTATTCTTGCTAATATGCTGACAACTCATTTCCCTTTCTAGTTCCCATGTCAACTGACATTGTCACCTCTTTTGCCTCCTTAGGTGCCAGCCCCCTCACCTTCAAATCTGTTTGTCATTACCCAACTCCAAGACATCAACCCTCAACTCTTCCACCTTATCAAACTATCATCTAGAACCTTCTTTCCCTCTGCAAGGTGAGCGATTGGCTGCTTCCCTAATCCTTACCCATGTTTCCCATAGTATCACCTTCAAACCCCTCCAGCAAAACCAAATCTGCTCTTAAAATTACTAATAACATTCAATGTGACTGTGGCCAATGTAAACTGTTCCTCTTCGTCTTTCTTGAGCTGACTGGAGCATTTGATAGAACTGACCATAACATCCTCCTCCAAAACCTATCATCTAGCTGGGTGAGACTGTACTCATCAAGTTCCATGCTTACCTACTGAATCACTGTCAGAAAATCATCTACAAAAGTTTAAGGGGAGGCAATGGCCTAGTGGTATTATCACTGGGCTGTTAATCAAGAGACCTGGATAACATTCTGGGGACCCGGGTTCGATTCCCGCCACGGTAGATGGTGGAATTTGAATTCAATAAAATATCTGGAATTAAGAATCTAATGATGACTATGAGTCGATTATAAGAAAAACCCACCTGGTTCACTAATGTCCTTTAGGGAAGGAAACTGCCATCCTTACCTGGTCTGGACTACATGTGACTCCAGACCCACAGAAATGCAGTTGACTTTGAACTTCCCTCTGGGCAATTAGGGACGGACAATAAATGCTGCCTAGTCAGTGATGTCCTTATCCCACCAATAAATAAAGGAAAGGAGTTTCTCTTCCTATTTAGCCCTCAGCTATTTCTCAATTTAAATGTGTCCGTTCAGCAACATGACACAAAAATATAGGTTAGTTTCCATATGTATGCCAACAAGATCCAGTTTTACCTCTCAGAATTAGGATGACTACTTTCCATAATATATATGGACTAACTGTACAGGGCAAATTTCAAAATATGCAGTTAATTCCCAAAATATTATGAACTGAGAGGAGAATACTTGTAGACTTCAAGAGGATATAGACAGGTTAGTGGAATGGGCTGATGAAATTTAATGCAGAAAAGTGTGAAGTCATATTTTGGTAGGAAAAATGGGGTTCAGGAACACAGACAGACCTGGGATATACGTAGGCAAATATGTGCAGGCAGCGGGACAACTTAAAAACATGGGCAACAAGATATGAGGAACCCTTGATATTTTTTAAGCAGAGGCATAGAGTACAAAAGCAAAGATTAATGATGAAACCTGTTTCATAAAACACTGCTTTGGCCTGAATATTGCATCCAACTCCAGGCATCACCCTTTGGATCCTCTATTTTTTTTTGTTTATTCATTCAAGGGATGAACGCATCACTTTTTAGGCAGCATTTATTGCCCATCC